GGTTATTTAAAATACCTAATGAAATCTTTAAAAAAAAAAAAGATTTATTATATATACAGTGTTCTGCCTGCAAGCCTGAAGAGGGCACCAAATTTCATTATAGATGACTGTGAGTCACCATGTGGTTGCTGGGAATTGAACCCAAAACCTCTGGAAGAGCAGCTCTTAACCTCTGAGACATCTCTCCAGCCCTACCTAAAGCAATCTTTTTTGTTTGTTTGTTTTATTTTGTTTGTGTATGTTTATTTTTTCAGATAGGGTTTCTCTGTGTAACAGCCCTGACTGTACTGAAACTTGCTCTGTAGACCAGACTGGCCTCAATCACAGAGACTCTCTGCCTCCTAAGTGCTGGGATCCTAAAGCAATCTTAATGCTATATAAAGAGTTGCATTTAGTGAACAATGCCATAGAAACATGTTCAGTACAGACGCAGGATATGTTCAGATACTTCTGTGGTTGGCTGACTCCATGGATTAGCAAGCCCACAGAAGTAGGGTCCATCTATATTATGTGATTACAGTTATAATATGTATACATAACAGTTTAACTCAAAACAAAAAAACAAAGAAAAAAACGAAGTAGAAAAAGCATCCACAAGGAAGTGTAGGGAATAGTAGTTATTAATAGGTAGTTTTAATTTTCTTGGCACTGTTTGTACAAAAATGTGAATATACCTCATACCATAGAACTGCCTGCTTTAAAATGATAAAGATGGGAATATTTGATTTCTACGTCTTCATTTTTTTTTAAATAAGGAACTTATGGATGGCATGATGACTCAGCAGAGAAAGGCACCTATCACCAAACCTGAGGACCTCAATTTGAGTACAGGGACCAGCATGGTGGGAGGATAAAACACTCCCACAAGTTATCCTTTAACTTCACACATTCACTGTGGCATGCTACACCTCTCCACACACCAATGTCATTACATTTTTCAAATAAAACTAATTTTAATTAAGGGGCTTACAATTTTTCCGATTCTGGTTTCATATCCAACCATACAAAAACAGACTATTCGCTATTGTTTCAGGTCACATTTCAACACGGTGTACAGGCAGTATACAGGCAAGTATAATAACTTACTTCCACTTAGAAAGGTTATTGATAGCTTAAAAGTACCAAAGAAATTGGTGATAATCTAAAGGGAATGAAAAATCACAAACTCAAATAGGAATCAACTTTTCATTGCTTCACTAATTAACATTAAAGGAAAAGCCTGGCCAGGCATGGTGGTACACGTCTATAAAATCAAGGTTAGCCAAACTATACAGTGAGTTCTAGGTCAGCAATGGCTACAATGAAACCAGCTCAAAAAAAAAAAAAAAAAAAAGATCATTCAACTCATGTCACACCAAAGTCATCACTGTCAAATGGGGTAAACACTCCCATTTAAAATCCTCAAAGCACTGAAGAGTTTTCTCTTTTTAAAACACACCATTCTAAACAATTCAATCAGTGCTACTGTACTGGTGAGTGGGATAGATGCTCTGTAAAACTAACATGCCATCTTCCAGTTAACCCACCTTTTCTCATTTCCTTCAACTACTGAGACTATATCCAGTATTGCTATTATTCAGCATGAAATACTTATGTACAAAAATACTAAGGTTACAAATAAAGCTACTCTACGAAGTTCTTTTCCAAATATTCAAATATTTAGAATTAAATATTTTCAATTATTCAAAATTCTGATAACTTTTGTATAAATAGGAAATATCAAATATTTAAATAAACAAAAAATGGTTTTATGATGAAAAATCCAAAAGAATGTCTTCTCCCAAGTAAAGTTGACTCAAAATGTTTCCATTTATTGAGAAATTGTAGCTTCTTAATTATTTCAAAGCTAGTTTCATTCTGTACAAAAACCATTAACATTGCTTCCTGAATCCTAGCTGATTCACTAGAATAACTGAGAGGCATTATCCTTCCTTCTTACGAGATATCAACCCTAGTCAGTAAGAACATCGCCATCTCCAGGTTTTCTTCTCTTGGTCAAAGTGCTCTCTGACAAGAGCTCTGCCTTCAACCTTAAACTTCCTACAAGAGTACACAAGTGCCCTGGATCTCTCCATGGTTAACTGTTCTCCTATAGGACTTTTTGCTGTTTAAAGTATGTAGTTGAAGGTGAATGTAACCAAATACTGTTCTCTCAATGAAATGTGACACAGAATAATAATAGGAAATTGATAGTTCTATACCATACAACCCGAAAACAAAATAAAGGAATGGGTCTTAAAACTCGGCAAAATTTGGTTAAAATCCTAAACGATAAAATAGCACTACATACAACATAAGAATGAAAGGCTTTTACAGAAACAGACCAACAAGTGGCAAAGCAACAGCAAAAAATAAAAAATAATATTTACTAATTAAACAGTGGAAATGCTGCTCAGAGGTCTGACTTGTAAAGCATACTTCAAATGCTACAGGACTCAATCCCACCATTTCTCAAGATGGTTAAGTGTTCAAGAGGTGTCCCCAATGAGATATACAGCTTGTGAAGTCATGGAAAGAATTTCCCTGAAATGTTCTAAATTCATGAGAACTGTGCATTATGGAACTTGGGAAAAGTATATAACACATATTCCTAAATATAGCATTATGGTAATAGTGCTTTGCATACTGAATTCCTTGGGTGTGGTATTACTCCATGTGTGTAGCACTACATATTCTTTGGTATCTTGTATTTCTAGGATAGCAATGTCATAAGAAGTTATAATGGAGCACCTCATATTTCCTTGGTGAATGACTTGTAATTTAAGCTCTTGTCTCATCCTCACAGATGAGGGACTTTTAGGGAGCTGCAGGATAGACAAGCTTTTATGTTTCTCATTTTTCCAAGGGTTTGGAAATTTTAAACTTTAAAAGGTCAGAAGCTACTTCCTACTACAGTAACTTCTAATATTATATGCTTCTAGAGACATCTGATTGTAGTCAACCAACTACTATGCTCCTGACAAATCTTAAATCTTACCTTCCCAAGTAGACTACCTGGGTTAAGATAAACCCTAATCTAACAGTCATTTCTTCCAACGACTTTACTAATATAGAAACAACTGCTAAATCAACCAGCAGCTGTGACCCACTGCAATAGGTGCATATGTGCCTACACAGAGTATAGTTTCAGACTGGTGTATTGACTTCCCTTTTATGTCTTTTATGAACTTTGAGGGGCTGAAACCAAATTTATGTCAATGTTCTAGCCAAGAATTTAGATTCAAATTCTGAATGCAAATACATTTAAAGGGGGAAATGAGGGACAGAAAAACCATACACCTTAGGGGTTCTGAATTGTGTGCACACTGTATGCTTTATACTTCTATTCCACGTTGCATACTTTTGGACTGGATTGTGTTTTTATACACATAATAAAAACAACTCTTTTCTACCTTAGTATTCAACCTACCTGCCCATAGTTGTCTATGCCAGTTACTAATCTATTTAAATTTAACAAATCAAAAGCTGTCCTTAGGGATTGGCCAAGAGTCGTAAGTCCTTCTGCCTGAAGGTTTTTCAGTTCATTCATAAACGTTGCATGATTTTCTTTCCATCCAGCCTGAAAAGAAAGATGTAAGAATTTTTTTTTTATCATTTGAAGCCACGAGCACACATGGACACCGATTATAATGTGATGTCCACCAAGCAGGTATTCCACTTCGGGTTTGTATAGTTAACTTCACTTTTGGTTGATATGGCTTGGGTCATATGTTCTAACTGTTGTCTCTGGTGAGGAAACTCTTCCATAGGTGACCAAGAATGAACCTGCTTGCCCTACACCTTTTGGTAAGTAACAACAGTCTTAATACTTTAATAACTTGACTGGGAAAATTGCTAACATAACATCCTCCAAAGTGTGTGTAAGGGGTGGGTGTTGCGAAGGTACTAGTGGAAGGCAGATGGCAGCAGGACTTCTTAAGTTGACCACAGCTGTCCCACCAATCGGTGGCTTTCCTAGTTCCACTCTGTGATGACCAAGTCTCGAGGCCCCCCCTCCTGGCTTCCCTGCCAGCTTGGGCTGATTCCCCTTTTAATGCAAACCCGGGCTAGGCAAGGCTGGGCCCGGCTGTCACTCGGGCTAACTTGAATAAATATCCCCCACAGTTCATTGCTGCCGCTCACGCCGCGGAGGGGAAATGTCGGCCATGTTGATCGTAGCGCCTCCGCTGCCAGGCCGAGCCGGACCTGGAGGGGACGGCGGTGGGCCAGAAACTGCCACCACGCTGGCGCTCCCGAGCTGGGGAGGGGTGGGAGGCCGCAGGGGAAAGGGACCTGGAGGCGGGAGCGGCGGTGGGGGAGGGGAGCATAATGAAGAGGGGGGCGGGGAGGGCGAGCTAGGAAGGAGCAGGGAAGGGGGGGGAGGGCGAGGGCTGTTACCTTGATAGCATAGGGCGGCTCTTCGAAAGTGACCAGCATGTACCTGTCTCCTCTGCTGGCTGGGTCCCGGGCACGGAGCTGCGGGCCAGGGTGGGGACGGGAGGGAGAGAGAGAGGGAAGCACAGAGGCGAGGTTACCAGTGGCAGAAGGGTCGCCGGTCGCCCCCACAGTACCGCACACGCAGGGCCGCCCCTCCGCCGAACCACCCCCCTCCCCCCCCCC